GGCCATGAAGAAGCTGTGGAGAAGGCAAAAAGACCTTCTGGGTCCCCTGGAGCACTGACCTCCCTGCCCCCCCAGATTAGCAGGGGCAGAGCCTGAGAATCTGAGAGCTGCTTCAGTGTAGCAGCCTGATTAAGAAGACCTACAAAGTAGCCCAAACTACTTGTCTATTCTAATACTTGCTCTACTACTTGCTTCTCTATTGTTCTCAACCTCAGTCAAGTTCTGGTGACCTGAACTTTTAACACAGAAAATGAAATGAGCAGGGGATTCCTGGGTGGCTCAGTGACTTAGCGCCTGCCTTCAGCCCAAGGCATGATCCTGGAGATCCAGGATCGAGTCCCACATCTGGCTCCCTGAATGGAGCCTGCTTCTCCCTCTGCCTGTGTCTCTGCCTCTCCCTCTATCCATGTGTCTCTCATGAATAAATAAATAAAATCTTTAAAAAAAAAATAAAAAGAAAATGAAATGAGTATCCTAGAACTTCTCCCAAGTGTCTCTTAGAGAAAAGGTCTTAGGTGCTATGCAGAAATGGTGTTTGGCTTAGGTGGCCCTTGCCCATGTGATGATGTTGGCCCTACTAAGAAAGTTCCAGCTGCAGCATGCATGGAGATGGTACATCTGGTGTTTCTTTTCTGATATTTCTTCTTGGACACAAAATATATATGAGGAGCTCAAAACAACTATAAACTTCCTGGAGATCGGAGTGATCTGGAGGTTAATCTAAATGTGGGACACTGAGTTCTGATTTTGAAAGGCTGATTGAATTTAATGTCAACAAAGAGAAATGGACTTGTTTTGGGAAAATTACTTCCTTCTTGTAATTTCTTAAGGCAGTCACCATCATCATGATCTTTTTTTTTTTTAAATTTTATTTATTTATTCATGAGAGACACACAGAGAGAGACAGAGACAGAGGCAGAGGGAGCCTGTTGGGAGCCTGATGCAGAATTCGATCCCAGGACCTGGGGGCATGTCCTGGAGCCAAAGGCAGACACTCAACCACTGAGCCACCCTGGCATCCCACCATCATCAAGATCTAAATAATATTTGTTAAGAGCTTACCATGTACCAGGCATTGTCCCAAGTCATTTACATTTACTATTTATTTTAATTCTCTCAACATTCTTACAAGGTAGGTATCATCTTCATTTTAATGATGAATCAGTGGCAACTGAGAGACATTAAATTATTTACGTCTTTAGAGCTTGTTTCTGGAATCCAACCCAGATCTGTTTAACTTTAGAAGGCAAGTTCTTGGTCATATCTAAAATTCCTTGAAGCTACTAAGGGTCACTCTGTTTTTGTGAGTTTGTGCAAGTTAAACTGGCATCATGGGTAGAGATAATACATCCTAACTTGGTCTTGGTCTAGTGTAGTCGAGAGAGTGAAATGGACTGGATTTTGGAATGTGGGGAGATGGAGTAAAAAGATAATTTGTTGACAACTGAACCCAATGGAAAAAGGCATAATTTTTTTTTTAAGATTTTATTTATTTATTCATGAGAGACATACAGAGAGAGAGAGAGAGAGAGAGAGAGAGAGAGAGGCAGAGACAGGGAGCCCAATTCAGGACTCAATCCCAGGACTCGATCCCAGGACTCCAGGACCACACCCTGGGCTGAAGGCAGGCACTAAACTGCTGAGCCATCCAGGGATCCCCCCAGAATTGGGTTTTAATGTGGAAAAATAGATTACTTGCCGGCCCCTGAATAAGGAGTGTTACAACTGCCACAAATACCTGAAGTGGTAACATCAGTATCCCTAGAAGCTCTCCTGCAATTTAAGAGGGAATGGAGAGATGCTCATGGTCTTTTCTTACATCGTCTCTCTAATACTCCCTCACAGTTTAACTCTCTGATCCACATTCCTGCGTCTCCTACCACCAAGTCAACCATTTGGCTTCTTATTTTTATCATAGGACCTGCACCTTTTTTTATCTTCACTCTCATACCTAAGAATCTATTTTAAAATAAAAACAAAGCAATGTTTTGTTTATTTATATTAAATGTTATTTAATCAATCGGTGATCCCTACCATGGATGTGGGATGGAAAGAAGATGATATTTAACAAATGTATTTGCAATCTTAGCATTAAGTCATTACTCATCACTTATATCTTAGTAAGTAAGTTAGTATAAGTGAAGTTCCTTTCCATAATAGTAGCCGGTTGAGAGGGAATGTGTAGTATACAGGGCCTAGAGCGTGGGTCAAACTGGAAAGAGGAAAGGTTTAGGTTTAGGGAAAAGGGAGCTGGAAGGTTTTGGAAGAGCAGATAGGACAGCATAGAGGAAACATGTAAGCTATTTGAAAAGAGTATATTTTAGTGGAAAGATAATTTTGGAATCAGAAGAATTAAGTTGGGGTTCTCTTTCCGTGTGGTTTGGTTTAGTAGCAAGAGTGTAATTCTCTAGCCACTATACTTTGGACTTGTAGAAGGGAAGCATGTTTATTTATACAAGTCATAGTGCAAATACACTGAAGAGGACATACATGTGCAAATAATATGCAGCTTCTTTATTTTTCAATAACCCAAATGATTTTCTTCTAATTGCCATATTGCTGGATAGGAAGAGAAAAGAGCTCAAGTTTAGGCAGATGTAGTACACTTACTTTTTTTTTTTTTTTGAGATTTTTATTTATTTATTCATGAGAGACACACAGAGAGAGGCAGAGACATAGGCAGAGGGAGAAGCAGGCTCCATGTCGGGAGCCTGATGTGGGACTCGATTCCAGGACCATGTCCTGAGTCAAAGACAGATGCTCAACCACTGAGTCACCCAGATACCCCTAGTACACTTACTTCTATGCGGAAAAATGCACATAGTCCCCTTATGTAGGTCGTCATTCCCTTCAGAAAATACCACAGTCTCCCTTAGGAGTCTGCTGTTTCCCTCTTTCTAGCTTGACCCTTTACTAGCCTGGCTCTTTCCTAGGCTGTAAGATCTATGTGGGTAGGTAGAGGGTTCGTCTTATCAAGCTTGTTTCCAAACTACGTATTGTCCATTTTTCTCAGCCTCCACTGCCAGTTGTAAAGTCATAACTAGCACATCTGTCCCCTAGGCCATGCAGTAGCTTCCTACTTGATCCTTTAAAATCCACTCCTCTTTCTAACCAGTTGTCCCCACAACAGCTGATTGATTTTTAAAAATACAATTAGATCATTTCCTCACTTAAAACCCTTCAAAATCTTTACATTGCCTTTACAAAGGAAGAAAGGTCCACATAAAGCTTATAGATAAGGTCCTGTCTGAACCGACCTCAGCCCACCTCTCCACTTCCAGGCCTCTTGTACATTTGTTTCTCCCAGTCCATCTTGTCTTACTCTGGGACCTGGCAAATGCTACTTGCTCTTTCTGGAATGCTCCTCCTCTACTTTTTGCCTGGATAACTGCTCCTCAGTCCGAGGCCTCAATTTAAAGCTCATTTCTCCAGAGGTATGTTCCTGAGTCTTTAATCTAAATTATTTTTCCTTATTAGCAACTCTAACAAAACTCAACTCTTTTCTCAAAAACATTTATCACAAATTGCAGCTACATACTAAGATGTGTATTTAGGTTTTCTTGTTTGTTTTTTTGTTGGTTTGGTTTTTTGGGGCACCAATCCCAACTATAATATAAGTAGGATACTCTAAAAGTGAGGGCTATGTCGACTTTGTTTACTACTAGACTAGTAGATTCACAAGCAACAAAAGAGCAGCCTCGGGTGTAGAATTGAGGAGGCATTCACTCCCAGGTTTGTGCATAGCCCTACCCTGCTCTTGCATGACCAAGAACGTGACCAAGAGGGTGTACGTCTCTTTAAAATTTGTGCCCCCCACATCTCCATTGGCCCAAGACATTACCCTAGTCTCATCCCTGCCTGGCTCAGTGCCTTAAACATACTAGGTATTTAATAATATTTCTTAAAGGAATGATTGAATAATTGTCCTTGTATTTAGACTTGGGAATTTGGGATATCCAAATATTTTGATGGTCACAGCATTCTTCCTTTATGCGATCCCTATTGGAGCTGCAAGTCACATAAAGAGCAATAGCAATTGAAAATCCAAGAACCATATATTACCACAGCCAAAATTTAATTTTCTGTATACAGGGTCTGGTTAATCTTGTTTGTAATACTCAGTCTAGGTGGAAGGCTGCAGAAAGCTTCTTACTCCTTCCCCTGTAAGCTCCTGATCTGAATCTCCATGTTTTAGCATCTGCTGGTTGGCTTCATGATATAGGATCCTGAAGCTGTAATAAGTGTGCTGAACACAGGTGAGGAAGAAGAGTAGCGGTCTCCCTGCATAAAGGCCACATCCTTACCTGCCCCAAAGTAAATGTGTCCTAACCAGAATTCTGAAACTTGACCAATTGGATCAGCCTTCTCTAGGAGGGAGCGAGAAGGGGAGGCATCAGGAAGATAGGAGGAAGGAAAATGAAGGCTTGCTCCCTATTTTATATTGTATATTTATGAAGACTTTTTTTAGATTTTATTTGTTTTAGAGAGAGAGAGAGCACACGTGCATGTATGCAGGAGGGGCAGAAGAAAGAGAGAGAATTCTGAGCAGACTCCTTGCACAGCCTGACTTGGGGCTCAATCCTACCATCCCAAGATCATGACCTGAGCTGAAATCAAGAGTCAGATGCCTAACGGACTGAGCCACCGGGGTGCTCCATATGAAGACTATTTTTTAATTGTCTGACAAAAGTACAGGGTGTTGCTTGAGTGATTTGAACTTCAAACCCAGTCTTAAAAATTGCATAAATGGGGACATCTGCGCGGCTCAGTGGTTTAACACCTGCCTTCAGCCCAGGGTGTGATCTTGGAGACCCAAGATCGAGTCCCACATCGGGGTCCCTGCATGAAGCCTGCTTCTCCCTCTGTCTGTGTTTCTGCTTCTCTCTCTGTGTGTCTCTCATGAATAAATACACAAAATCTTAAAAAAAATGCATAAATCTTTAATCTCCTAATCTAATATATATATATATATATATATATATATATATTTTTTTTTTTTTTTACTTATGATCCTCATAGTCTCTCATTGCCATGATTCTGTGCCACCTCAGGGCATCTCTCAGGGCCTGCTTCACCTTATCATTGCGGAGACTGAAGATGAATGGGTTCAGGAGGGGTGTGATGATACAGCTCAGGACTGAGGCACCTTTGTTGAGCAGTGAGGACTGAGCCTCTGACACACGGATGTAGAGAAAAATGGAGCTGCCATAGACGATGACCACCACAGTAAGATGTGAGGCACAAGTGGAGAATGCCTTCTTCCGCTCGGCAGCTGTGGGGGCCCTGAAAACTGTGGCAAGAATGCAGGCATAGGAAACCAAGGTCACTGCCAGTGACCCCAGTAACACTGCCGTGGAGAGCACAAATGCCACCAGCTCCAGTAGGCGGGTGTCTCCACAAGAGAGCCTCAGCAAAGGCCAACTGTCACAGAAAAAGTGGTCAATACCACGGGGGCCACAGAAAGGTAGGCTGGCCATGAGGATGGTGGGACAGAGCACCCAGACGAATCCAGCGAGCCAGGAGGCCAGAACTAATTGGTAACAGACGCGACCGCTCATCAGAGTCTCATAGTGGAGGGGGCGGCAGATTGCCAAGTAACGATCCAGAGACATGACAGCTAAGAGGAAGAAGTCGGTGGTGCCAAGGAGGAAGTAGAGGTAGGATTGGAGGATGCAACTGGCAAATGAGATGGAGTGATCCCCTGTGAGAATGATGACAAGCATTTTCGGAACCACAACAGACACAAGCAACAGCTCCAGAAAGGACAGGTTCCTCAGGAAGAAGTACATCTGTGTGTGTAGGGTCTGCTCACCCAGCTGAGCACAATAATGAGTAGGTTGCCTGAGGCCGTTACAATGTAGGTCACCATCAACCCCAGGAACAGCAGGGACTGTAGGATATGGCTTCTGGGGAAACCCAAAAGGACAAACTCTGTCACCTGAGTCCAGTTTTCCAGACTCATCTCCAGTGACCTGGAGGAGAAATGAAACAGAATTTTGTAACTGGTTCCATAGCCATAAATCATCATTTAATGGCTCAACAGAATAATAAGCACCTGGTGCTTCCTTACATCCTGAGATTATATTCATCTTTCTGCTTAGGAGTGACTTACAAAAAAGAGAAATAAGATATGATAGCAAGCTGTATAGCAATAATAACATGGATGATATTATGATATTGAACATTAATTATGTATTAGGAAATTTGGATGCAGTATCTCCTCTCACAGTGGCTCTTAAAGATAAATATAACTATTCTCTCTTCTAGGTCAAGAAAGGATGACTGAAGAAGTTTAAGGAACTTTTCAATGATCAAATAGGGAGCAGGTGGTAGAGGCAGGATTTCAAACCAGATTTCTGGGGCTCCCATGCACATACTTCTTTCCGTTTCACTTAGGTTGGGTATCACATGAGTGGGGTCCAGAAGAGTGGAGGGGTCAGAGAAGACTTTACAGAATAAATGAACTATGAGCAAAATCTTATTGGGATCATGAACTCTCAGTGCTTGTGGTCCTTCTATGTCCTGGCTTAACACAAGATAACAATAAAAATCAGGGCTTTCAGTGTCTTTAGAGATTTTATTTTTCTTAATCAGCCAGAGTGTCACAGGTGATGAAACTGTGGAGAGTCCGAGTCCTTTCTGGTTTGTTGTTTTTACCAACTCTTCCTTCTCTGGGTTATGGGAAATCCCTCTTCCAGGTGTAACATTGACTAGCCTCCTCTCATCCTCAGCTCTCCCAACGTGTTTGTGGCATAAGGTGAAGAGGGGGAGGGAAGCTTACCCAAGGAGATAGGTTGTAGCAATTTGCCTCTTCAACTATTACCTTCATTTGGAGATATGTTCATCTTGTCTTTAGAACTTTCGAACTTATGAAATTTATCCATAAGTTTTGCAGGGTTGAGTTTCACTAGGCATCTTGGTTCTAGGATCCTTTTGTCACATCCAGCACCAAATACGCAGAATTTCATAGATTTTGCCTGTCAATTTCATTGCCTGAAAATGTTGGAAAACATTCTAAGACAGAAAGAATGCAAATTACCATCAAGTTGTTTAATTGATGAAGAATGAAGTGTTGAGAGTTTTGCAAAGTTTAATCCAGGAACATCTATTACTCCAGACTTCCAGCATTAAAGATGGGGAACATAAATATTTTCTCAAGTCTGTCTGGAGAAGTCTTAAGAAAAATTATCAGCTGAGGCAGAGAATCTTGGTTCCAAGGCTGAAAGAAAGACCTTCAGGGCAAGTTCTGGTTATGTCAGTAAGAAATAAATCCTGGGATTAAGTAGCTAGCAAATAGTAAAGCTTTATACCTCCAAAGTCAATTAAATACCTCAATAAAACTCAGAGAAGGATGTTAGAGTATTTAGGGATGACATAATCATTTCAGATAAGGAAAATGTGTTAACTATGGCTTTTCCCAAAGTATTGGGTAAATATTGTGTTTAAAAATAGCTTATAAAGCCTAGCTGGCAAATTTTTAATATTAGCTTTTATCTACTATTATAAAACACATACGCTAAAGTCTGTTATACAGCATTCCATTGGCAGTTAACTTACTGGCTACTTGCAAGTTTCTGAGTAATTTCCAGTTGGCTGGCTGTCGTTCTTATTATTCCACATAATAAAAATATAATCCCTATATATATGTTAATCCCTATATATATTATATATATATAATCCATATATATATATATATATATATTTTGTCATTTTGGGGATGCTGGGTGGCTCAGTCAGTTGTGTCTGACTTTGGCTCAGGTCGTGTTCCCAGGGTCTTGGTATCCAGCCCCATTTCAGGCTCTGCACTCAGCTGGGAGTCTGCTTCCCCCTCTCCACCACTCATACTCTCTGTCTCAAATAAATAAATAAAATCTTAATTTTTTTTTCTCATTTTGAACCTCCAAATAATGTTGTTGGTTAGTTAGCCTAATGTCTAAGAAGTCTTGCATAAACTCATAGTTAGAAGTTGTTAAAGTTATTATTGGAAATGATTTCTTGTTCCCATCTACTTCATACTAAAAATAGTGTTTGGCAAGGTGAGAGCCAATGGAGGGAATTAGAGCTATGAGGGACACACATGTACACACATTTTCAATTCTATCTGCATTATAACTTAATCTACACAATTAGGGAGCTACTGTTGTTGTCCACTTTATAACTGAGCAAATTGGAGCACATCAGGCTAAAAAAACTTCAGAGGTAGAGCTAAGATGAACATTTAAGATGATCCAACCCTGATGTCAGACCAGTAGCACTACTACTTGAAATTTGAACCTGCCAGATGGAAAAAGGACATTGATTTGGAGTGCTGCAATATAATAATGCCTCATAATAATAACAGCATTTACTGAGTAGCTGTAATATATTAGGAAAGGAATTTTTCATTCATTTCATTGTTCAATGTCTCAGCAACCGGGCAAGCTAAGCATTACTTCCATTCTACAGGCAAAGGAATTATGTAGAAAGTAAGGACCCATATCTAGTGAGTAGAAAAGTTAGGGACTGGAATTTTAGGAAGTTTGACTTTAGAGACTGCACTTGTAACTGCTCAGCCATAATATCTTAGGCGGGAGAGAGTTCGTGACTATAAATTTGATTTGACGTCAACTTCCAATTGTTACCTTGCTTCATTTGTGGGTTAATGATAAGAATTGTGCATATGGAAATTAGTTATTGTAGTTTAAAGCTTTGGTCCTAAAAAAATAAAACTATCCCTCAGAATGTGTGCTAGACTGAGCCTTATCTCAAAGGCTTTCAGCTTCTACAGAGAAGTGAGACTGGGTGTTCTGGCCCCAATCACTACTCTCCATCCCCAGAAGGACTCTCTTACCTGAGTATATCCTAGAAACTTGTCCTCCTTGTCTTTCAAGTTCTATCACAGGGTATGCTGGATCTATATCATGTAGAAAGCAGAGCATTCTGCTTGGGTTGCTTATAAATCTAGAATCACATACAGGTACTTAGCTACTTTCCCATTCCCAATAAGGACTCCTTCATGGCATTACACATTTGGCTTATTATTCTAAATATGGTTGGAATCATCAAAACTCTCCTATCTCCCTTCTGAAATATAGGACCCTCCTGCCAGAATTTACCATAAACTTAGGCTATGAGACTTTTTCTTTTTTTTTTTTTTTCTCTTTGTCTTTAGAGAGAGAAAGCATGTGAGCTGTAGGGGGTGGGTAGGGGCAGACAGAGAGGGGCAGAGAGAATCTTAAGCAGGATCCACACTCAGTGTGGAGCCCAAATTGAGGCTGTATCTTATGAGCCTGAGATCATGATGTGAGCTGAAATCAAGAGTTAAATGCTTGAGCCACCCTGGTGTCCCTGAGATCCTTTCTCAATCCTTTCACCCACATGGACCATTTGGTCTTGCAAATTTCCCATTTCCAGGATATATGTCCACGTCTCTGTTTAGTCCTCCGGCAATCCATTCAGAGCTCCTCTCCTGTTTCCCTTAGCCAAATCCTTCTCATTTCCACTGGCAACACATTTGCATAGCTAGTTTTCTTTTTTTCCTCTTTAGGTATACTCCTGGTATCTTGAGGTTTGAATACATTTTATATTTTATTAGTCAAGGGAGAATCTAGGTTTATTGAATTATTTCCTCAGAGCATGGAAAACTTGTGCCAGAATCATCTAGTTTGTTGATTAAAAATACTGATTTCTAGGCTCTACCTGTAAAAATGCAATCATCCTCTGGGGATTGGGCCCAGGAATACAGATTTTTAACAATTTATCTGGGTTATTCTTATTTACCTTAGAGTTTGAGAAATGCTGGATTTAGAGAGAAAGAAGAGAGTTGGGCTTTTTGAGCAAGGTTAGGAAAAAGGGCTGAGATATTAAGAGGAGACTAAGTAGTAGGTACGGAATAGAAGAGCCCAGAAATGAGAGGCCTAGTTTTCTAAACTAAAACCATCACCAATGTGGTGGAAAGCTAACTTTACAGATGACCCAGAGAAGCCATAAATCCAGGCTATTAATTCTTACAACACTTCAGATGGCTAACCCATGCTCCAGTGTGCCCACAAATATGCAGGGATTATTCCTTTCAGGCCTGGGCTAACCAAGTACCCCATACGAGTACCCCCATACATATGAGACTAGATACAACCTTGAACACTTTGTGCCAGGTATTTTATCAGGTACTGGAGATAAAAGTTGAATTGCTATGGAGCCATAGTGTAGTAAGGGTTAGATATATTGATTGCAAATTGTAAATTGCATTAGAATTCATTTAAGGCTGTGATAAAAGTAAAATCAAAGTCATGTAGGGGCAGAGAAAAGAAAGGAACAAATTTTGTGTATGGGGCAGCATGGAATACTTATAAGGTTAATAACATTTAACCAAACACTTAAGGAGGAATTGTAGATCCAGAAAGGATATGAGTCTTCCAGGTTTAAAGTAACCCAAAATACCAACTTTTGAGTTTTTCAATAGGAAAATGAGATTATAAAGATTATTCATTTTTTATTATTAAACTATGGTTTAAAATACACTTATAATTATTATGTAAGTATATTTATTCTTAAAAATAGCAAGACCAGGGCATACTATTTCTTGGATGAAGAATGACTCAAACCTGATGGACTTAAAGGCTCTAGGAGCATAAACTGGTTCTTGAGACAGATAAAATTTAATTGGATCCTTCCCATCTCTGCTAGTAGGCCTTTATATACTTATTACACAGTATTCTTGCTTTTAGGTAATTATCAAATAATCATTAATGTGTTAATTTAAAAAGAAATGTGACTATTTTGGGTTACTTCTTTTTTTAAAAAAAGATTTTATTTATTTATTCATGAGAGACACACAGAAGAGAGGCAAAGACATAGGCAGAGGGAGAAGCAGCCTCCCTGTGGGGAGCCCATCTTGGAACTTGATCCCAGGACCCCAGGATCACGCCTTGAGTTGAAGGCAGATGCTCAACCACTGACCCATCCGGGTGTCCTCAGTTACTT